ATTTCTGATTTTATTGATAATTAATTTCAGAATATTGCTAACATTGTTTATATGTTTATACTGAAAGGTTGATAGCGAGAATGACGGGCTTTCTTTCCAGATTCATGCACATTCGAAATCGGTAAATCGTTGTTTTATCTTCTCAAATCAGATTTCGGTAAGTCAAATGATGTTTCGATTTCACGCATATTAACGGCATGCTCTTGATGAATATAATATGCACATTATCGGTGTATTATCTCCTACAAAAATAATCGAATCAGATGCACCAATATTGTCGAATGGAAAAGAGTAATTCACCAACGTGATAAGCAAGTCAAAATAGCAAGAAAGCCAAGAATGTTTCAACATACAGATGATAGCGTGTTTCAAAAAATTAACTGTATGATGTAAAAAGGCTGGATATAGAATATATTTGAGTTGGGATGGTGAATCTCAAGGTGTATTTGGGTTTATATAATGACGAATGAATCCCAAAAATGTCGAAATTGCAGTTTGGAGAATAGATTATCGGACACAATATATGGAGAAAATCACATACTGAGATATGATGAAGGCAATCTGCAAATGAAAGATGATTTCTTGAGATCGATTCTTGAGTTTTTCTTAATGCTGTAATGAGAACATGTAGATTGGAGATTTTGGGCGTGATTTGGGGTGGTGTGGTCGGGTGGGGGTTGGTATGTCATGTTTGGTGGAGTGATGATAGTGTTTAATTTGACTAATGAGAGGAGTGATTGTATTTATTATCATTTTTACTTCATAAATTGTAGTTTTTTTCGATTTTAAAAACTTGAAAGGTAAAAGATGAATATTTATCTAAATTGCTGTAATGGGTTTAATTTCCTCGTCTTTTCTTTCTTTTTGCCATATTCAAATGGAGCACACATTTCACTAGGAAGGGAGCAATTATGAGTATGAAATGCTAACTTTCGCTAGTTAACTTGTTTTTGTGCTCTTTGATTAATTGCTCAAGCATAAACATGTTGCTTATTGTCACATGGCCATCTCGAACAACATGCGATGCACCGAGTTTTTCCGTCCTCAGTTAGCAACACACGAATTTACACTTTCGAATATTGAAAACAAACAGAATTTGGACACATGGGCATCTCGAACAACATGCAATGCACTAAGTTTTTTTGTCCTCGGTTAGTAACACGCGAATTAACACTTTCGAATATTGAAAACGGACATAATTTAGACAAGTGTGTAGAAAACCAAAAGAAAGCAAAATAGAATGCTGGATTTCGGGAACTGTCTCAACTTTATTTCTATAAAATAAAGAAACATGCTAAGTACAAAACCGTGAAGGGTCAACACACATTTGTTGCCACAACACAGCATTCTCTATTTTACCTACTGATGATACCAAAAATCGTACCTCTTGATCCCGAGCTTGACGACCAAGAACGAGCACGAACGAGGTCTTTCGGTACCTGAAATAAAGGCATCGAGGTGTGTCCTCGTCGCCCCTCCGATGCTCAAGTCAGAGAGAGAATTTAGGAAAAGATATGTGCTGTAAAATTGTGTAAAAACATATCTTAATAATGATCCAAGGCCTCATATTTATAGAGTTAGGTAGCAGTGCACTCCTAGTAGGACTCATCACCTTATTTTTAGGAATTATTGTTGGGATAAGTGTTGGAATAAAAACAGAAGCCTTGTCCTACATTACGTGCAGTACCTTCCAGGATAGACTCCTTATAGACCTAGAATTCTGAGGTACATCTTTTTTTACCACATCGCCTACTTTTAAGTCACCAACAGTAGGAATAAATAAGCCAAATTCGGATTGTAGTTAACACCTCCAACTATTGGGTTAGTTTGCCCATATTTTCAGCCCTCCCATGCCAAAAACTGCCCAAAAATTGTCCCTATCACGTGCCTCCCATATGCCTGATATTCACACTAAATCGAGTATTGAATCGAGCTGGATAGCAAGATCGCAATGCTGTCAAATAGATGTTCACATCAATCCATCAATCAATCCGACTGACTTGCATCCTCGAATTTTGCTCCATGACGCCGCCATCAAGGCATCCATGCCTCGGTCACTTATCTCAAAAGCCAACATGTTGCCTTGGTTAATCCCACCTGAATCCACGCTTTACACCAAGCATCATGCACGCCTTCGACCATGGCATGGGCAATGGGCATGACAACCACCATGCCATATCCATTTTCTTGGAAACGGTCCCTACTCTAATCCTAAATTGACTACTAGTAGATATATATAACAAGTTAACTTAGCTCGAGCAGGCCATTGAGCTTGACTTTTTCTAACTTAATCTATTCTTTTTTTTATGCCCCAAGCCAATAGGCTCTCATCTACCCTATACTGCACAAAAACATTGACATGTCTAAGCACGATTTCAACAACCCAAAAAGAAGAAACCCGAATACAACAAATACAATAAAGATTCAACCAAAAAATGCAAAAAGATTATACAAAGAACGATAAGGAAACCTTTGCAATTGTTTAGATCTAGCTGGGAAGCAACTAGAGATTGCCCTGCGTCTGTGTTTGGAGGTGGAGAAAGGTGGGGCAGAGAGCAGGAAGAGAGGAGAGGACCAGCACAGGGGGTCGTTACCGAAGAGCGCTTGCTGCGAGATTTGCCTGGGACAGAGATATCGGAGGGGAAAATAGGCGGCGATGGTGAATGGTTTGCTGCGAGATTTGCCTGGGACAGAGATATCGGAGGGGAAAATATGCGGCGATGGTAAATGGTTGACTGGAACGGCGGCGTGTGTCAGAATGAAGTGGAGGTTGTGGGTTGAGGGGGTTGAGGAAGAAGGAGATGGGTGGGGGGTGGGTGTAGTTTTGTTTTGTTTTGTTTTTTTTTTTTAATTTTTGATTTAATAAAAGAAATGTCATTACCTTATTTGGAGAAAATTATTAAAATTTTAATTTATGGGTTAACTGACGGTTTTTGAAGTCAAAACTAACAGAAACCGTTATTTTGAACTCTGGATGCGAATTGTTTAAAGATTTGGTACCGTGGATAGTACAAAACAAAGATTTGGACAAAACCTGCAAAAATGTAAAAGGTTTGGTACCGTGACCGCAATTTTCCATATATATAACAAGTTAACTTAGCTCGAGCAGGCCATTGAGCTTGACTTTTTCTAACTTAATCTATTCTTTTTTTATGCCCCAAGCCAATAGACTCTCATTTACCCTATACTGCACAAAAACATTGACATGTCTAAGCACGATTTCAACAACCCAAAAAGAAGAAACCCGAATACAACAAATACAATAAAGATTCAACCAAAAAATGCAAAAAGATTATACAAAGAACGATAGCTTATTGTTCCAAGAATTGCCTGTACAACATGCAAATGAAAATGCCTAGGCAATAAAAGAATAAGCACTGGTGTTTTGATTGAGAAATCTCGCACTTTGTTATGTACACAGCAGCCTTAACTGAAGTCGAGTACCTTGAGCTATATTTTGACAAGCCAAATGAGCACGAATCCCCAGAAGGATACATGGCATTCATATATCTTTCTGTTCAACCAAGAAATGTGACCTATATGGACAAATGGAAGTAAAAGAACACTGCACAAAACATCCAAATAACCAATCCCACAGCAACAAGGAATCCGGAGAAAAAATGCATATCCAAAGATAGTGTTAGTATAATCCCCTCGGTGTTCAAACAAATGGCGGTAGGCTCCACAGAGGAGTAAGATATTGAGTTCATAGATGTGTATTCGATAGATGTCTCAACTGCCCCACACGAGGTCCACGGTCTAAGAGCATTAGTAAGCCAGCATTGTTGGCTGATAATCCGAACATGTACCTAAAACAATAGACAAAAATTTAATAAGCATAGGTAGAGTATTTACAAATGGCTCCCAAGCAATGAACTTTATATAATGAATAATGATAAACACAATTTTTGCCTATATATAGAGAGAGAAATGATGTCCTAAGTACCGATGTTTAGACTAAAATCTTGATTTTTAGTAGCACCAAACAGGGGCTAAGATTTTTAATGTAGCCAAACTTAAGATGGAAGAGAGAAAAGAGTTGTGCGAATACAAAACAAATATGTCCATGAATAAGATATGATGAATATAATGTGAAAAGCCAGACGTTGTTTCCTTTTTTCAGGTAATAACATTAGCAGTTCTTTTATCAGAAATTCAGAATCAAGTCCTACAAAGAACCATAAAACTACTGTGTGATTAAGCCCCTGTATGGGCTCCATTAACAATAGTTTTTGGGAAAAATGTATTTTGGAATAGTGATTTATTGGAGAATGTGTGGTTAAAAAATAAGGAAAAATTTTGAATTTATGTGTAATATTATTTTATCGAAGGATGTGTGGTTGAAAAGAAGAAAGGGAAAAATGCATTTTGGAATAAAATGGAGTCCAAACAAGGGCTAAAAGACCAGTGTATAGAAGCCACATACATAATACATGACCAAATATAAATAATTCAATTACATAGTAAAACAGTAATATGGACCATATGTTAATGAACCTGGTAAAATTAGCATGAAAAAGTAAAGCATTCAATCTGTAAAGAAACACAATTCAGCGATTAATCTGTTAGAAAATTCAGTAAATATTACTCACCTGCATTTGCGAGGTTTTCTTTTCCATAAAACAAAAGATGCAACCCACTGAACATGAACATAAACATGAGATATAAACAGTTAGCATTTATTAAATGAAACAAGTCTGAATTTGTACTTTATTGATAGAAAAATGTAACTAAATTCACAAAGGCATTTCATACAATCTAACGGCAAATAGCTTTTTTGATGTTGCGCTTTCGATATGAAACTAGCGAATTGCAATCACAAGAAAATTAAAAAGAATCAAAGATGAATGTGTTGATAAGAAATTAATCAGGATGGCTTTGCTTTCAGTTCTATATTTAGACCAACTTTTGAGACAATTTTTTGATGTCTGAACTATGCAAAAATCAAATTGTAAATAATGTTTATGACACTCTAAAACTAGCTCCAAAAGGATAAATCAGAAATAGAAAGGTTAAAGCTGTTAAAAACCACGATAAGGCAAATTAAAACTATAAAATTATGATGGACCAAAGACGAAAAACTGATCCATGTGAACATGAAAGAGAGGGCATAGGCCCAAGAAAAAGTCATCATCACCTCTCTCTTTTTCTGGCCCCACCATATCCCAAAGAAAGCGCACTTGCAAATACGCATGCATGAAAAAATGAACATTATTAACCGGTTAAATTAATAAACTACTTAACAATGCATCAAGATTCCATTGCCTGGTAGCTAAATAAAAATACTCCCAATTAAGATATCCACAGGGAGCAGAAATTAAGCCCCTGTTTGACGACCATTAAAAAGAGTTTCTTTGGGAAAAATGATTTTTTGGCAAATGAGTGGTTAAAAAGTAGGAAAAAGTATTAGGTTTACGTGCAACATATTTTACTATGGAAATGTGTAGTTGAAAATGAGTTTGAGAAAAAAAAAGAGTTTCATAAAAATGGCTGTCAAACAAGGGCTAAATTTAGCAACCAACTTCAGCAAAAGTTTAGCTTCACAATTTATTTCCCCAGCCATTCAAAATCATAATCAAGGAGCAGAAGTCACAACTTGCATAATAATATCAGAAGTTTGCATTTTTGCACAACAAACACTTTAATAGAACAATTCAGATCTGAGCCCATGAAATTGCTCATCAAAACTTAGGACAAAAACACTACAGATCTTGAGGATGAGAAAGCCAAAAGATATTCGACGGATCTGACACAGAAAGAAGGAAAAGTATTATTATTATAGAAAATGCGATATCAAACAGAAGAAGGTCGGGACAAGGAGAGAAGAGAGGGTTATCCATAACATTGGGTCAACTAGAGATCTTTCGCCGAATGAAATAATTATGGGCAAACAATCTATAACAAAGATAAGGACATACTTGGAAAGGTTTACATACCTAGAATTGCAGATTTTAGAAGCTATTTTGCAGCCACATACACATTAACTGTGACCAGCATTTCATTGAAATTGCTTTATCAAAATTAGTAAAAGCTGTCAAATGGTAAATCCTGCATTGATTCCTTCTACAATAGAATACTTTTACATATAAGCCTATAAATATAGCCCTTGTTCGAGCCCCATTATTCGGTAAAAATAGATTTTGGAATAGTGAATTTTTGGAGAATATGGAGTTGAAAAGTAGGAAAAATTTTTAAGTTTAACTGTAATATTATTTTATTAAGAGAATATGTGATTGAAAATGAGTTTGGAGAAAAATGTATTATTGGAAAACGGGGCTCAAACAAGGGCATAGTAAGCATGTCCTAGATTAGAACATTTCCCATTCCCTGAACTTCCTTCCGTAACTAGCATTTTCTACAATATCCGCATTCCTAAAAATGTAAACATTTTTGCCATACTACAGCATACAACTGCACATGCATGGCGCTTAAAATTCTTATTTCTTAATTAAGTGTTTGCATTCCAATTGTAAAAGATCACTAATTTCACAATCACTTATACCATGCATGGCTAAACGGGCACTAATTGTTAATATAATGCATGGACTGTGCTGTTTATGCTTGGTAATCTTGGAGAAACACATAGGTGCATTCCCATTATTCAGTAAATTGCATCATGTGGCACGCAAGAAGATTACAGCCCAAGAAATCAGGGTAAATATTTTTAAAAGGTAGTTAAATGAACGGCGTGAACGTGTCGTTAAACTTACCACTACAAAAGATAACAGGAGCTGAGATACTAGAATTTCAGAGTGATGACAAATAAAATAGACGAGAATGTTTGAAACAGGACAGAAAATTAACACCATCAACACCCAGTTAGGTCCATTTAGAAATAAATGTAGTATGCCGCATGAATTACCTTGAATATTGACGAAAAACTCCCGATTATTGATGGCTTCCGCTCAGGCATCCTTCTTACTGGTGACGTTTCTTTACACAAATTCTGAGCAATCTCCTTCAACAACACCATCTGTGCTTTATCAGTTCCAACAGAAATAATTGCCTGCCTCATTGATTCTCTGTCAGCTTCTAGAGCATGAAGCCTTGCGTACAGCTTCTGGACCTCCAGATCTCTAACATCGGAATGATTTAGCGACGCTCTTGGGGTCGTCAGATAGTCGTCACCTATTCCAACAGAAGACTTGGGCTCTGTGACACCATTATATGAAGCTCCCCGATGAATAGAATCAATTGTGTAAACTCTGTCGCTCACATCATCTCCAACTTCTGATGCATTATCCACCTTCCTCAAATTAGAGTTCTCTTCCATCTGGGTATATTCTGTCTTCTTAAAACTGCCACAAAACTTTGGAGAATCAGTAGAAAATTCTGCCCCTGTTTCTTTACCCATCATAAAAAAAGAATTTGAACTATCAGTTGAGAACTTCCTAAGATGCCGAGGCTGCCTTGGAGATTGACCAACTATCACCTTTTCAAATGTATTTTTAAATTCCCCTTCAGGCTGAATGGTCCTAGGAGTTTTCTCCAATAGATTTATCCGGTCCTCCAAATCCTTCAAGTGTTTTCTTGACCGTGGAGTTTCACCAAATGCATATTTCTCGATGTCAGCGGGTTCATCTTCGACGTCTGGATATGTCGGGGGTTCATTCAAATTGCACTTGAGAGGAGGATACATCTCGTAAGGAGGGAGTTCAGAGTGTCCCTCGAGGCTTTCAGTCATGCTAGTGTTTCGGCTCATATCCTTTTCTCCGTCAGCCTCAGCC